CAATCTCTAGCTCCTCAGGAGTGGTCCTGTCAACTTGCTGAAATGATGGAATGGTAGTTAGGTTATTAGAAGGAAAATTGGCACAAATTGAGAGAGAAGATGCTCTGGCAGCAACCACAAGCAGCCAGCGACTCAGTGGCTTAATCTCTGCCCTCAGGCTGCTCTCTACGATATAGATGACACCTTGTCAGTGAAGATGATGTGCTGGGTCACCCCTGAGTCCAATGGGCTAAATTGGCCATGGAGGGAAGGATTCCTGCAATGCAGAGCCAGCAAGCCACATAATCTAATTTCTTTTTTTTTCTTTTTTCCTTTTTTTTTTTTTTAGTATATATCGTCATTTGGATACTGACAGTAATTGTCAAGGCATCCCATTCTCATTAGTGTCCCCTAGACACAGCTGTCTCTGTACACTCATGCTTTCAAGAAGTAGTTCTAAACTTTCACAAGGTCTGCTTTGCTTCTTTTGGAAAGTTTTATGTGTAGTTTCTCTTTTTGCCTTGTTATTTCTTGGGTACAGGAGAGGGGGAAGATGGGGGAAGGAAGAAGCCGCTTCCTCTGAGAGTCACTGTGTGGACAGAGAGAAGTTAGTAAAAACCCTGCAGCTGTTGGCAACCAAGAGATCTTAGTTCAGAGCAGTAATGTCCATTGGGTGAAAATGAAGGTTGGGAGAGGATAAGGTAATTCATCTTTAGCAGAGATTATTTGCAAGGAATTAAGGATATTTGGATGGATTTTTTTATTGACCTAACAAGCTCTGTGACAACTGAACCATCAGGCAGGTGTGGTGTATAGTTTTGTTACTCAGTGGAACATTCAAGTACACTGCAGGGATCAGATCCATAGAATCTATAAAACTGAGGTGATTTTTTTTCCGTTGTTATCTCTCTGTTGTTTTATTCACTTGTTTAGTTTGACTGCACTGGCTCTAATCCTACAGCTACTGCTGAAGCTGGGTGACAATGCTAGTGAAGCGTCTTGCTGCAGCAGTGTTCATGAGCTCCTCAAAATCCCAGCAGTGAGACTTGCATTATCCCTCTGAGGTGCTTGAAAGCCTTAGTTTGCACTGAAATCAAAGGAAATGCAATTTAGGAAGGAGCCCAGCTGTGCTTGTAGAAATGAGTACCCTCTCTGTGGCCTGAACTTGTCTATCAACCCCCCAAAATGTTGGCAGCTCAGTCAAGCCCCTACCTTGTGGTAGAAAAGTATTATAAAGAAAAGCCTAAATTGTGCTTCGTTTTTTCCTAAATCTGCAGGAGTTAGTGGATTGACAGAGCTGTCAGTGGATGGTGGAATTTAGTCCAGAGAAGTTTTAATGACTTGCCCAAGTTACTGCAAGTAGTGAGTGAAAAAACCTGTCCCCTGGAGTTTTGCGAATGGTAGCCTACTCCTGGATCAGAGCCTTTAACCATCTTTATCCAATAAAGCATTTAAGGAATATGATCAATTCAATTTTGGTTCCAACAAAATAGAAAAAGCTGAAGCATTTTGTGAAATTAGATCTTGGCCTGTGCCTAAATCTGTAGCTCAAAGCAAGAACTTGATGCTGATGACGTCACTAAGCTGAGAAAACAGGTACAAGTAAGTGTTTGGCTTTGTGGTTTCTTGAAAATTGGCTGATTAGCAATGGAAATTTTGGGGCTCTTGGTGGTAAAGGTGGTTTCAGTAAAGGAAAAAGCAAAGGAATTAACATGTTATTTTTTATTAAACATTATCTCAGCTGTAATTTTGGGCTGAAGTAGCAATTGTGTATGAATTTCTTAAAGAAATGATCCAAGAGAAAGAATAGATGAAGAGCATAATTTTTAAATGAACTCACTTCATTTCATTAATGTAAACAACACAGAGAATAAATGAAATTAAAAGTGAAGCCAAATTCTGAAAAAAAAATAGCTGACCAAGGTCAGGGCAGAAGTGGGGGCTTTACCAAGCTTCTACATTTTCTTGTCTTTGCAGGTCCAGAATAATGTGAAAGCATTTTCCCTGGTTATTTTAAGCTATGGGTCAGGGATTTTTCAGCCTCTCTGCGAGGGAGGTTTTTTGACAGATTGGATTTTACATAAAGGAATAGGAATTAAAAAGAAATAATGGAGTGATTTTTCTAGAGGTTTAAGTGTCATGTAGGTGCTTAATGAAAGTCTTAAAAGTTGTTCCCATGGAGTATCATTCAAGTGAGTCAGCCAGGGTTTTTCTGTTTCTTGGTCGTTTAGGGGGGAGATGGTTCTTTGGATGATTTGTTTGCTTTGGCTTAAGTGTTGTGTATGTATGGAAAATGCAGTTTCTAAGGCCTGGAGAAATCATGATTTCTCCAGGTGTACTTGTGACCTGTAAAACTTATTCAAAATGAAGAGCATTTTTAAGATGAGAGGGTATTTTTGCATGAAATGTGATATAAAAGTTTTGACCAAATCTTTGAGTCTCTTACTCAGGCAAGACTCCCACTAGAATAAATAGGATTGTAGCTGTTTATGAATATGATAAATGCTGTTGTCTGCTGATCCGTGTTGAAACCACTTCACAAGGGATGATCAAACTTCTTGTTGTTGGTTTAAAATGTCTCTTTAATATAACTTTCTCCTTTCTGCCTAAAGTGCTAAAGTTAATATGGGCATATTAATGTGTTTAGGTGAATTATGCTTTCAAGGAGATGAAACACATGAAACTAAATAATTTGTCTTCACACCGGTTATAGCTGTGAGACAGGGGAATTACACAGGGTTGTTTTCTCCTTGCCATTCTTAGATTTTTTTTTCCCCCCACACGTAAAATACGATTTTCATCTGGTTGTGCAGATTTTGAGTCCTCCGGTGGGCATTCACTCCTGAACAATCATAAAACAGAGAAATTGTAATTAAAGCCAAATTTTTTTGAAGTGGCAGGTGGCTTTGAAATGCCTGAATTCTGCCATGATCAGCTTCTGACATTGCTGCACACAGACCATTTTCCCCTTGTCCCCAGTGGAAGGATGGAGAGGATGCTCAGAAAGTCACATCTCATTAGTGCTCATTCTTGAAACTGAAACATCCAAAAATTATCAGCACTTATGGAATCTCTAGCCAAGTAATTAGTTGAAACTACTGTCCTTAATTATCAATAGTGACATGAGGCTGGGAGGCAGAGTTGTATTTTTCTTTTGTTCAGTATTTAAAATTATTTGTTTTCTGTATAAGGGTATGACCCTTCCTAAACCATAGCCTGTCATTTGTCTCCCAGATCAAATTATTTTTTGTTACTAAGTTCTTTTCCCCTGCAAAAGTGTGTGGTTGTTTTGAACTTGGATGTAGGATGTACATCTGGAGATCAGATAGGGTAAGAATTTACAGGGGGTGAAAACGTTCAAAATTTTGATCTCCTTTGGCAGGGAGAAAAAGTTTTTGAAGCAGTATTTTAATTTTCACAACAAAGTAGGCAATTTTGTCAGTCCTCTCTTTTTGAATTGTGCTTTTTTTTTTTTTTTTTTCCCCTTTTTATGGCAGCAATAAACAATGTGATTTAAACTGGAGCTCTCCAGGCTGCTTTTCGTTTTTAAAAAGCACAGGCAACTAATCGGCAGCAACCAGCCACATAGCTGGAGTGTTTTCCATTCTAGGCAATATCATACTAATTTGATGCACACATGGATGCTTCACACAATCTGCAGATTCATCGCTGGCATCTTGCATTAGTCATCTGACAGATTGCCAAGTGTTTCATATTCCTTTCATGTGACTTTATTACAAAACACACACACACACACACGCACTGCCTTGTTTCTGCCAGTAGCCAGTTTAGTGAGAATTCACTGCAGTTCTGTTTACAACAGCCATGGACAGAAATCTGCACTTATTTGCAACTCTCCTCTGCTTTAAAATGCAAACGTCCCGGGTTGTGTTGTGCCGCTCTCATCTTATATAATGACATTAAGCAGCAGCCTGCAGAGAAAACCAGACTCAATGAAAAATGTAATGGCATTGTTTTTTGTTCGTAATACTTATGCTATTAATTAAATACTGATTTTTTTTTTCCTTCTTTGTGCCAATTGACATCATCTTCTGCATCTAGTGCACATGAAAACTGCGTAGTCTTCTAACTTGCCTTCTTTTCAATCTCCTTTTCCACTTTCTAGTAACGGCACAGCTAACAAGATGAATGGAGCTTTGGATCATTCAGACCAACCAGACCCAGATGCCATTAAGATGTTTGTTGGACAGATTCCCCGTTCGTGGTCAGAAAAAGAGTTAAAAGAACTTTTTGAGCCTTATGGAGCTGTCTACCAGATTAACGTTCTCCGAGACAGAAGTCAGAACCCTCCCCAAAGTAAAGGTACAGTAGTTGTGCTCTCTTTGCTTTCAGTTTGTTTGTTTTTCTGATGATCTTCGTTGCCTTCAGCATTTCCAAAGAGGTTTGCATTTGGGCTGTCTGTTTTGTAGTATTCTGTGTTGAGCTATGCAGCAGTCCTAAGAGGAGAGGACTCCTGAATCCTATCAGATGCTGTCTTCCTCCTCTTCTTACATTGCAGTTTAATTGTCTGTTATCTGAAAGCATACACTCCAACTGTGCAAGAAATAACAAAATATTGCTGTTCTTGTTTAAATTATTCTTGCCCAGAAACATGGAAACCTGAGCGTTTGCCTCCTAGGATTAGCTCATGAAAAATATAATTTTCTATTTCCTTTCGTTTCCTCTCTTTTCACCCCAGGTGGGAATTATTTTAAGGATACAAAAGGGAGAAATTATAGCAGTGGGCTCTTGCTACGTCACTGCTCCAGAAGCAATAAAAATTACAAGCAGTCCTTTTTCCAAAATCTGATTTCTTTTCTGCAGTCATGTTAAAGGATTGATTTTTGGCACTGATACTGTTTTAAGTGAAAGAGTTGGTTTTCCTTCCTGCATTTTTTCTGTACATATGTAAAGTATTTTTCCCTAACTATCTTCCTTCCTTTCACTGTATATCTGTGTATATCTAGGCATGTGAGAGTTTGGTTTGTTATAGCTGTGTAAGTGTAACATATGCTTACTTGTAGACTGAAAGTGAACATTTTGTTTCACAGAATGCATTTTTCTACATAGCTGTATATTTTCATTGATACTTCAGGTTTGGTACATGAAAGCACTGCTACAAATAATAAGTGTAGCTCGGAGGCATAACTAGATGTGCATGTGTGTGCCTGGCTGTAAGGTTACTAGACAGTTATTCATTCTTACTGCACTCCTGCCACTGATTCTAAAAACCTTCAGAGCACACGTGCTAGGGAGGATATCATAAAATTATTTTTGTGGGCTAGCAGCTAACTAACTGTGCAAAACAGCCCTCACTGGAGACTACCAGCTTTGGTGAGAGGTGACTGCAGTCGTGGGAAGCACACAGCACAACCTCGGGTGCGCCTGTGCTTTTGGGCAAAGCACTGCCAAGGCTCAGCATATCTTCCTTGCCCTGGTACAGGGCAGAGGATCCTCTCAGTGGCCCCTTTGCTGCCCAGTTTAAGCCATCTGGTGTTCTAAGGGATAGTGGTTCATTTTGGGTTGTTTGCGTCTGTCGCTTCTGGTTAAAAGATTTGTTCCAACAGTGTCACACCAGTGTCAGGGAGGGGGGTTCATCTCACCGTACCTTGCTCTTAATCAAGTTTCTGTACTAGATTGCTCTTTCCCCATCCCTGGAAGTATTGATGGCTCTGTTGGATGAGCAGCCTGGTCTAGTGGAAGGTGTTCCTGCCCGTGGCAGAAGGGTTGGAACTAGGTGGTCTTTGAAGTCCATTCCAACCCAAACCACTCCACGATTCCATGATTCAGAAACAGAAGTTGTTTCTGGTTGGAGTGTTTCAGTGTAGTTCTGCTTCCAGCCCTCTCCATTTCTCAGGATTGATGTATTGTAGCATGTCCCCTCTTACTGTGTTAGCACAGAGCCCTCACCAAATGTCCTTTTCTTGTAATGCTGGATGGGAGACAGCATTAAGAGGTCAGACAACTGGATTTTCTGCAGTCCGGGCTGCTATGGATGAGCAAACTCCTACTTAGTTTAAACCACTAAAATGCTGAACTTTGAGACTCATCCATTTGGAAAGAGCTGATTCCTGGGCCACAGAAATGCCTTCCCACTAAGCAGTAAATGAAGTGAGAACGATATTGTGGTTAGACAGAAGAAACCCATTGATTCCCATTTCTGTGGTGTTTTCCATTGTACTGTACCTGTCCATCAAGCAGCTGGAAGGCATAAGGACGAAGCACAGGTCATGCAAATCATTGTAGACTAATTATCAAGGTTTGTAGTTCCCCCAGACAATATTCTTTTTGAAAGGTGGTTGGGTTTTGGGGATGCATTTTGCTTGGACTCTCTTCAGCCAGAGATGATGCTTGTCACTTCAGGCATTATGTGTTTTAATGAGCAAATGAAATTAATCCTGAAGAAAGACAGAATAACCTTCAGAATTTCCCTGACACCAGCAGCAAGCTCCTCTAGTGGTCAGCTTTTCCCTTGGAAGCTTTGGAGGAGTGTATATCCACGCTGGCTCTATTCATCCTCCTGGCTGAATCTGCCAGCAAGGTTTCTAGAAACCTCTGGAGTTTCTTGTGGATATCTCTTGAGTAGGAATGATCTTTATTTTCTTAATCCAGTCGCACAAAGGATTCTGTGTGAGAGATTGTTAAGAATGCTAGAAACAAACAAATCAAAAAATTGCCCTGAAAAACATCTTACAGTCTTCTTCTCATCACAATGCATGAGAAATACTTCACCTATACTATCTAACTGGCATTTAATAATGAAACTGAGTTTTCATTTTTTGTTCAGAGGTCACGGAATCATAGAATAACCTGAGCTAGAAGGGACCCCTAAGTATCATGAAGTCCATCTCCTGGCTCTGTACAGGACAACACAAAAATCACATGTGTCTGAGGTGAATTCCATGCTCTTCTTCAGTGCAAATATATACAGGAAACAAGCGTTTTTATTTAATTTGACCTGGGTGGATTGGGGTTATGGCAGTCATTTTTCTGCCTGCTGCCCCTCTGGATCACCTCCAGTTTTGTAAAACAGTCCATCGAGGGGACCTTGAGGTTGGATGACACAGGAAAAAGTCCATTTTTCATTTCATTGCATGGTCAGGACTCTGTGTCGGGCAGAATATTCAGAGCCTGGTGTCACCCAGAAATTTTCTATGAATATTCTGCAAGCCATGAGCTGCAATGACAGGAATGCAAGTTAGTGTTACTACAGCATGCAGGGGGGGTGAGGGGGTGGAGGTTTGGTTTTGTTCTTTAAAGAAAACCATTTTGATTTTTGAAATATTTCCCTCTTCCCAGACACGGGTTGTGTATTTCTGTGAGCTTGGCCAAAGGGGCTCCTCCAATTTGGACAGAATTTTTCTCTGATGAACTGTTTATGAAGCTGCAATCTGAGTCTCTCCCAATTCTGTCAAAAATAACCATAGGCTGCTTCTCCCTCTCCTGCTGTTATTCAGACTGTCTTTCATACCCTCCAACGACAGACGGCCTAGTTCATGTCTTTCCTCCTTTTTTGTATCGCTTGCCAGCTCTGCAAAGCTGAAGCTGGAGGAAGACAGGTAGAAAGCCAGGTTTTCCTGACTATGGAAAACCAGAGAAAAGCCATCTGAATTCCTTAGATACGTTACTACTAGTGCAAACGTTGAGGCTTGGCTTTATTTAGTTAGGAGCTTCAGGAATGGCTGCATTTCAATGGATGATGGTTGGAATATCGTCTAGGAAACTCCTGGTGCTTTCCAGAGTTTGCAGTTCTCCGCTTGTTTTGGATGTGTGAAAGAGATCAGCAAAGTAATTTGACTTTGTGTTTATCCCCTGTTGTTTTGTAAGGCTTTTTCCTCTTTCTGCAACAAGAGAAATCCGGGGGATTAGGTAAACTAAATACAAAAAAAACCCAACAACAACAACAAAAAAGCAGGAAATCCTGTAACGCTGAAATAAATGGCACTTTCAGCTTCTAGGGTCTAAGGGGATTCAAAGTCTGGGCAGATCAGCCCTCTCTGTTCCCAATCCAGTTCATTCCCTTTATATAATTTATTCCGGGTAGATAGATGACTTTTTTACAGAGTAGTTGTTAAAAAGAGCTTCTCTGATACCTCAGATGCAGTGAGCTCTGTGCAAGGGCAGCATACACTGCCAGTGAGATCTCTCTTCTTCCCCACTGTTTTTCTAAGCCGGAAAGATTTCCTTGGCTGCTTTGGTTTTGGAGTCCAAGTGCTGAGGCAAGCAGATGGCACAGGGCTACTTTTGCCTTTTGAAATGCAGCAGAAGAGTCTTGGGCCAGATCCACCATGTGCTGTGTGTACCTTGCCCCTGTTTTGATACCTGATAATTCTTGTAGGGAACAAGATCCCCTAAACCAGCCTTGTGAGCCTGAGTACTTGTGCTGTAGGAATTGCCCTGTAGAAAGCAGGGAGAGGCACCCGTTTAACAACTAACTCCTAACTCCGTATTTCCTTGTAGCCTTTTACAGACCCTTTATCAGATTAGAGGGAGGCTGCTGAGTGAACAAGGATGTGCTGTAGTTAAAGGCCAGTGTTTATTATTATCCTATTTAGCATGGTAATTTAGGTCTACCGGGAAGCAAGCAGAGGAATCTGATAATGAGGCATTCATCTGCTGCATACAGGAGAGACCGAATGGGCAAGGAGGCAGATATGCATAGAGAAGGAGAAGTTACCTGGATTGCTTGGGTACCATTTCAGCCTCAGTTGAGCTCTAAAATCAGAAATAGTCCAAGGCAGGCAGGAAGGATGGTTTCTCTCATCCAGCAGATCCCTCTCATGGTGCTCCATTCGCTGCACAGCAGGAGGAGAAAAGGGAACCCAGGTAGTTCTGCAGGACTGCCTCAGGAGCAGAGCTGTGGCAGTCTGCTTGTCACACTGTTCTAATCAGCAGCAAAGACAAACTGCTTCTTGTTCCTTGCCTGCCCTTGTGTCACCACCCAGCCGATTGTAGGCTCCTGCTCCTTCAGGCAATTTCAACACATTGTGTTTGGCAAAACTATTTTAGACGCACTTTAAAAGTTCCCTTTCAGGCAGCGCTCCAGGAGTCAGGGTTTCTCTACGTATTTTGTCTTATTTTGTGTTTTGAATACTTTCACAGGCCCTTGTGAACGTTGTTTAGCTTTTGAGATCAGATGAGTTGCATCATGAGCACATACACTGTCGAAACAGCAGGACCTGTGACCACAGCCATTATGCATATGTGTGTTAGACTAAATTTTAGTGATCGTGGCTGAGAGATATTTTATCACAATCTTTCCTGTACTGACTCAAGAGGTGCCTTGCCTATTATTTTTTAGCAGGGGCATTGTGCACTAAGTG